GTCTGAATTGAGTCATAGAAGAAGGGTTATCAACTTTGGTGATCAGGGTGATAAGAGTCTCATTTAAACTATGAATTCTACTCAGATTCCTACAGCATGAGAAAATGAAAGCACAAAAATCACTTCCAATGGAATCCCAGCACTTCTGGTAGAAGATGACTTGGAAGCCATCCATCCCTGGTGCTTTGAGGCCGTTCATGTCCATCACAACCTTCCAAATATCCTCAAAGACAGGAAAAGAAGCCATTCTAGCCAAGACAACATTATCAAGTAAGGGGAAATCAACAGGAATATTGTTCCTAGTGGTCAAAGCATTCTTAGTAAAGAGGTGAAGGAAATACTCCCTGGTCATGAAGAGGAGGGTGTCATTATCAAAAATCCATTGTCCCTGATCATCACGTTGACAGGTGATCTTGGTTCTCTTCCTCCTGCTAAGAGTACTGGTATGGAAGTAGTGATTTGGGTCTAATTGTACACTTTTATCCCTGTTTCTCTTTGACATTTGTTGCAATTGAGCTCCAAAAGGGATGGTTTTATGCTAGGTTTCGTGTGTTTCAGATTCTAACAAGTGAAACCAGCCCCGGAGTCGAAAGTTGGAAGAAAAGGAGGAAACAACCTGTGTTCATGGTCTGTCATTGGAGTTCACGGTACGCCGAGTGTGAGTAAGTGGGAATCGATTACCGATACCGGTTTGTAACCGGTTTACCGGTTACTGAATTACCGGTAAACAGTTACAAACCGGTTTTACCGATTTACCGTAAAGAGTAGTTGCGGGCGGTTTTTTGGTTAGGTTTACCGGAAAATTACTGAACCGAATATCTGGGCAATGGGGTGATGTTGTAATATTTTGATTTTTCTGAGTTTTTTCTTCATTTTTGTAATTAATAAATTATTATTAACTTTTATTTATAATATTTTTTAGGCCTATACTTACTTACTTCCATTCATGTACGTAATATTTGTGAATAATGAAGTATATGTTATTAGTTAATGCCTTAATTGATCCGGTATCGGTATTACCGAATTACCGTCGGTATTTACCGATTCTGGGGCCGGTAAACCGAGTTTCCCCATTTGACCCTCGGCTGCCGATACCGCCGGTAAATGATTTACCGTTTACCGCCGGTTACCGGTTCGGTAAAATTGTAAACCGTTTACCGACTTACCGTTTGTCACCCCTACTTTCAATTATGTTCTTCCCTCTTTTTCTAAACCCACTTTTATCTTTCTCTTTCTATTATTTATTTATCTTTTCGTTGTTTCTTCTCCTTTTCATAATTATTTTTTCTCCCTCAAATTCACAAGCGATGAAGTGGGATCATCCATATCATCGTCTCCACCAAACTCTATTCACTTCAACTCATCGTGTCACTGGAGCTACTACCTTCAAAAATCATGTCACAACTCTTCATATGCGTTTGAGCTACTATAAGCTTTGCTCACTCCAATGACATGCATGATTGTAAACTCCACATATTCATACAAGTAAGAATGACAATGGGTCGGATTTGGAACATATTTTTCTAAACCATCCCAGTTTTCAAATAATCAAATCCATACCAGCCACATACTCATGCGTAAAGGATTTACATCCTCATCCACATACTCGCAGTTTTCCATTACCCATAGGTAATACATATCATGTATATCCAATATTATTATATATCGAATTCAACAAGCAAGCTTTTAGTTATAACACCAAATGAACAAAATAACTCAGGAAATCAACAACATTACCACCGTTCTTAACACGAATTCAAAGCATCCAATCCTAGAATATCCATTAATCCATAAAAAGTACAATACTATCCAAATTGTTTATTTGTGCATCCAATACATCTCCTAAGTAATCAATAATTAACATAATTTTGTTAACAAGGGGAAAGAATTGAAAGGGTGTAGAGTGAATGAAGCGAAAGAAATTAGTGTTTCATTTAATGGTCGCTTAATTACATTTCAGCCTTTTTATTTTGAATTACCATTATTTCATTGAGAGATTAAAATATTATCTCTGTATTTTTATATGAATAAACACCATTGGTGGGACATATATGTGTATGGGATTGAGAGGCTAAAACCATCTCATATTAGTCCCCTTTCCATCAAAAATTTTGTTGGTTTAACCTATATCTACCTCATACCCAATCAATACGAGAATTCCCCGTATTAACTGGATCGGGAGCGGTCGAATATCTGTGGTGGTGGGGGGTTTTTTTTTTTTTTTTGCTAGAAGATCACTCTTCATAAGAGGAAATAATTTAGATACAAAGGAACAAGAGGGTATACATCCCTCGAATGAAGTCAGGAACAGAAGTCGAACCTCGGTAACATTTGAGGCGACAAAAATCAGAGCTTTATGGGCCACACAATGAGCCTCTCTATTTCGAACTCTTCCCAGGAACAGAACCTGAGAAACTTCCACCACATCCAAAAGTGTGAATAATTCTTGGAGAATCACACCAATCTTGTTATTTGCCGCATCCCTAGCCAAGCATTTGTATATGATCAATTTAGCATCACTGTCAATTGTGACCCCTTGAAGTTGTCGTCGGAGACAATCCGCAACGCAGTCCCTCATGCCCAATGCTTCCAACACATATGGATCTGCTATCCCTTCATATCGCATAGCAGCAGCTCCAACGATTCCACTTGAAGGAGCAAAGAGGACAAAGCCAACCGTCCAAAAACCATGAGATGATGTTGTCACGTCAAAAGTAGCCCGCATACCCTGAGCTTCATAAAAAACTTAGAGAGGAAAAGAAATAGCAGGTGCCATTCTTGAGACATTGGTGGGGAGTAATAATGCCTGCTCCACTTCCTTTGCTTCTTGATTAACCAAAACATTCAGTTGGAGTTGCTTGGATTAGAACACCACCAAACACTGATTCTTCCACAACCGCGAAAGCAAGCAACCCACATGCAAAATAAGATAATCTTCTTCTGGTCCATTTGCATTGCTAAGGGTATGTCGGATAAAGCCCACAAAAGAACGCTTCTCCGACTGCCTCCAAAGTTCTTGCAAACCAATCAACCTCCAAAATTTTCGAGCCACCAAACAAGAAAAGAAAAATGTTCAATCATTTCTTCCTTTCGACCACAAACCAGGCAAATGGATATTAAGTCCATACCCCACACCACCAAAGCCTCCCTAGTCGAAAGAATATGATGCAAACCTTGCCATAAGAAGAATAGTAACTTCGAAGGAACCTTCCTATTCCATACACATTTCCATAATGAATGATCCATGAACGAAACTTGATGTTTAGAGGAAGAAGGAGGACACTGCAAAGTAGTTAATAGGAGATATGCAGATTTGACCGAGAAAATCCCCGATGCTTCAAAATGCCAAACAAGCTTGTCTGCAATCCGTTGATGAGGGAGGGGGATCCCTTGAATCAGAAGAACTGTAGTTTCCTCAAAGTATAATTGTAGCATGCGAACATTCCAATTCTTGGTTCATGGATCGATAAAAGCAACAACAAATGGAAAAGCATAAGGAGCACATAACCGAGGTTTTGGAATAGATTGAGGAGCGGTCGGCAACCAAGAATCAGAAAAAGCTCGAATTGAGAACCCTTCTCCAACCTGCCAATGAAGCCCTTTGTGAAAGCAAGTCTCTACCAACAAGAACACTACGCCAGCCCCACAAAAGATTGGATCCAAGAGTAGCATCCATAATAGAAGGAGTAGAACTGAAGTAGCATCCCCGATAGATACGAGCCAAAAGAGAAGTTGGATCCGCAAGTACCCGCCATGCTACCTTTGCGAGGAGAGTTTGATTGAACCGACCGAACCCTTTGAATCCTAGCCCCCTGACTTGCACTTGCTTACTCGAACAAAGAAGCTTCCAAGAATGCTAATGAATCCTTCTATGTTCCTGAGTTGCCCCCACCAGAAACGAGCCATGTGTGCATTAAGACGCCTAATTAACTATTTTGGTAACTGAAAACATGACATGATGTAAATGGTATGCCACAGATTTGAGCAAAACTTCTTTGGTCGCAGTAGAAAGAGCACGTTGCTTCCAGCCTTGAAGAACTGATAATAACTTTTCTTAAACAAAACGGAAAGTCTCCATCTTTGATCTCCCTCAAAGGGAAGGAAGACATAAGTAACGATCATAAAGACCGATCGACCCAACTCCAAGAAACGATCCCAAATCTTCTTGTTCCGATTGCAACATGTTGGGACTACAATAAACAACATATTTTTGGAGATTAACTCGCTGGCCACTGATACTTTTAAAATATCACAGGACCTGAAGGAGGAAGACAACATCCCTTCGCGAAGCACGGAGAAAAATAAAAGAATCATCTGCGAAAGGAAGATGGGAAACCGATGGACACCGAGAATTGATTCGAACCCCATGCAGTTCACGTCTTGAGATAGCTCTTTTAATCATGGCAGCGAAACCCTCAGAACATAAGGCAAACAACAACGAGGAAAGAGGGTCACCTTGACGCAACCCACGAGAAGATGAAAAGTATCCAGAAGGTCTGCCATTCACTATTACCGAGAAAGTAGCCTTTGTGATACGTTCCTGAATCCAAGTCGAAGAGAAACCCAATTTTCAGATGATCACAAATTAGAACGACCATTCGATTCTGTCGTAAGTCTTCTCCATATCCAGCTTAAGTGCCATAATTTTTCCCTGCTCAATCGTTGATTTTTTATGAAATGAACCAATTCATGAGTTACCAACACGTTGTCAACAATCTGCCTTTTCTGTATAAAATCATTATTCTCCGAAGAGATTAAGGTAGACAATATAGAACCCAATCTGGTGGGTGGTGGCTAGTATCTTTGTGATTACCTTGTACAAGAATTGGCAAAGGGTGGTGGGTTTGTTTGCCACCCTACATTCTTGATTTGGGCTCGAAGGAGATACCCCTTTCTTAATGAAAGGAAAAATGATATATGGGCTGGGCCGAATCGGGCCCTTCTCGCATTTCCCTCCAGATAGATAAGGCTGCGTTGGCTTTTCCTGCTCAGCCTACGAAAAGAGCGATAACGAAAATCAAAGAATCAACCGCCTGAAACCAAGAACTGCAACAAGTAGTGTAGAGCTGACTGAGCTCCCTTTCTTCCTTCTGATTCCTCCTTTCTCCTATGCTATAAATGCATTCTTCACCGTTGTCCATCTCCGCCGCATCCCTAACCATCTTCACAATCAATCCTTGCCCGGAGGATTGCCGCCGCTTCGCGTCAAATGGCTTCTCTCCCTTTCTCCAGGCAAGGAATACAATCAGTAATGGCACGCTACAATCACCACCACCAGTAACTCGTCGGCGTAACTTGGCGCGGAAATTCAATGCGAATTGCCGCGCGCTCCAGAGCGATGGAGTCGCTGGAGGACAAACGGGGAAAGTAGAAGGAGAAGGAGAAGGAGAAGGAGAGGAAAGTTTGCAGCTAGTAACAGCTGTGCGAAGCAAGTACAACGACATCGCAATTGTCGATACTCCTACCGCTAGGGTTCTGCTCCTCGACTCTACTCGTACGTCGCTCTAACACATATCTCTCTAATTTTGTTAATGTGTTGAACTCTTCAAATATGCCAATGCCAATCCATAGCTGTCGTTCATTTTCCATAGATAGTGTGCATAGCGTTCTTCAGAAGGGACAGAAATGGACAGATTCGTATTGGGTAGGTGAACTGAACTGAGGCTTCCGTCTGAAATGCATAGCTTTATCGGAATCCACTTAATCCGTGACAATTGGCGGGAAAAACATCATCCAGAAATGGATTAATGTATGGAGATGGTTGATGGGTATTAGTGACTGATCTATAATGCAGGACGAGTTTGCAAGCTTACCGCCTATAGTTCCAGAAGGTCCCATTTCGATACTAGGCCTGGTATACCTCTTCACTCTGCCTGCTCTGAGCATGGTCATCTATAGAATTTTTCTGCTTCCCATCGACGAGATTATCGTGGATTGATTGTAGTAAATTTTGCCTCTACAGGGTGGTGGCACTGCTGCACATCTGATGCTTGACTTATGGCCTTCATTGGAGCTTGAAGGATGGGAAATTGATGACATTGTAAGCTTGCACTTTGTGTGATTCTGTTGCATCCATTAACGAACGCTTTCTCCATTATTTAGGATGACCATTTACAGGGAGTGTTATGATTTTATTTACAATTTCTAGTTGATCCATAAAGCAAGAGTCTACTTCGGGCTATCGGATTTGGAGAAGCACACTCCAGCTGGTGGTAGACTTCATGTTCGCATCGGGGATGCACTTTCCCCTGCTGAAAACGATTCTGGGAGATATGCCGGTGAGTGTTTCTTCGGCAAATTTAAGTTGATAACTGAAAGTCTATAGTCTTTACCTGAACTACAGATACAACTATCATAGCTCTTCATGTATCAGTAGCAGCTGTGTTGAACTAGCATCCATCTACACTGAACTCTGTAGGCAATTCAATTACCAGTTCCTTTCACCATAACTGTCTCTATAGATTGTCTCTTCCAAATATATTTGGAGGGCCTTAATTCCTTGGTTTACTAACACCAAGTGGCAGTAACTGTTCAGGCATAATTGTCGACTTGTTCAGTGAGGGAAAGGTGCTGCCACAACTGGAACTGGTAGGTCTGAATTAGTGAAGCACTTTGTCCGCTGCATTTCTCATGTTATCTACTCTTGCACTACATCGTCTCTTCGGCAAATGCATAACTTACTCTGTCAAAGCTTAATAGCGGAGGCCACAATGCCATTCTTTCCTGAAACTTGCTACTGACATTTTCTCCTCCGGACTGTTGTGGGTTTGCAGGTCTCCACTTGGTTGGAAATGAAGAGAAGATTGATGCCGGATGGTCGCATCATGGTGAACTGTGCTGGCATTCACGGGACAGCAGACTCAATAGATCGAACGAACCACAACCTTGAAGCGGCGCCTGGTGGCGACTGGGTTGAACACGACGTTATCAAGGCGATGTCTGAAGCATTTCCCGGGCAGGTAAAGCATGATTTCCTTCAAAGTTCCCCATATACATTTATCAAAAGGAATTGGCTCTTTTGAGTGGCGCGGGTTGAGTTGCTGCAGTTATGTTGGAAGAGGATGGAAGAAGATAAGGGTGCAAACTACCTTGCATTGACGGGCCCGCTTCCAGACCTGTCGTCATGGTCCGCCATGGTGCCAGATCGTTTGAAGGCAAGTGTGGGACAGTGGAAGCCATGTGATTCCGCAAAAGGGAAACAGCAATCAGCTCTCTAGGGCACTGATAGATAGAGAAAGCTAAAAAGCAGACGGTGGGCAGGGAGACATGATAAAAAGGGGTTGCCGTACTTGCACCACAAGGCACGCCAAAACACCAACGAACAACAAATGGCGGAATGAAGAAAAATCATTACACGGTGGTATTAATCAAGAAAAAGAAGAATAATACACTGATAAAGATGATTTTGCATTAAGGTTGTCATTCATTGTTATTAAATGGACCATGACATGATATGAGTTCTTATTATCTTTTGGAAGAAACATCCACAGTGATGCCTTTTCGATTTACCAACACCGAAGCAATTTGTGTACTGTTCTATATCCTTGCTACTCATCTACCCTTTTTCTTTCTGTTGCAGCTTCTTCTAACAGCTGAGATGTTTTATATGAACTACCACATCCCTAAAGTCATAACCTTTCAATCTACTTCCTTTCTGTTCAAGCACGCCCTACTATGACAGCTTCTACCTATTCTCTTGTGTCGTGTGATGGTTTCGCAGTTTCATGATTTGGGTTGCCTATCGGCGAGTGGTCTCCCATAGGCGAGTGGCTAAATCGTGTAGTAGATTCGGCGCTTGCCATGTTGTCTGGTTTCACTTGCTTTACAGGGCATTGCGGTTTGTTCCCCCAGTCCCATTGCTGGCACCTAACAAAGGTTCAACACCAAAAAGAGCTCAAACACACAACATCAAGGATGAATAAGCAAAACCCAACAGGGACCATTAGGTAACGTAACGATACAAACAAAACGGTAGAGCTTCAGTTCATCAAACACACACACAATAGCGAAAAGAAACTGAAACCCATTATATTAGTAGTAAAGTCTGGAGGAGGTTTCAAGCTTAGAACATCATCACTGAAGCACATAATACTACTACTATGAGAAAAGCATCATTCTCTGAGCAAAACGGCCGACAGCAGCACAAGGGTAGAATAGCATAACAATACGACAGTCGTCCCGTAAAAAAGACCAGGAATCCAGCACTGTCCCTTTTCTCCCGCCATATCCTTCTCTCTTCACTATCTCAAACTCTCTTTCTCTCTTCTTCTATCTCAAACTCTGTTTTACGGCCTTCTCGAAAGACCGGGTGCCCTACTAACTCATCAGCAAGCCTCACCACATTACTTTCAACTGTACAAGCGCAATCCTACCAAGAAAACCCGCCTAAATAAAGAGTCTCAGCAGCACTTACTCCACCTTTTCTTTTCTTCATGGAAAGGAAGACATAACAAAACGAAAATAACAAAGGGAAAACATGGAGGGATCCTACAACAAAAGGAAAATGGCTCTTTTTTAGAACTGCATTCCGTTGCTATATATACCGTTTCCATTCGTTGTTGTCATTTTCGCGAACTTAGTGGCATGTCCATTTTGGTAAACACTTATTTTCGCGATGCCATTCCCAACTCCGTTGGGTTTCCCGAATCCATTGCTTACCCTGTGGTTTTGTTGCAACACACCCTCAAGCTGTCCACATGCTGCTGCTATCAGACCTACACAATCAATCAGCCACAAAGTCGACTATGTTATCAAACCAAGCAGCACCAGAAATCCAAGATGGTGTGATTAGTTGTTCGATCAACGCAACTCAAGCAATCCTTTGGCACTTAAGAGTTACCTGTGAACACTGGAGAAGGTTTTCCAGGTCTCGATTTGAACTCTGGGTGGAACTGAACACCGACGTAGTAAGGATGATTGGGCAGCTCAATGATCTATTTGTTTTGACAGCGAAGGGAACAGTCATCAGAATCCCTCTATATTCCAGGCATGTCCAACTTCTGGACACACAAGAGTGGAGGGAGTGGGAGAAAAGGATGGAAGAAACAAGGTTGGTCATAATACCTCCATGCGTTGTCCAGTCTCGTCCTTGCCAGTAAAGGAGAGCCCAGCATCTTCAAAGCGTGCTACCATATCAGGATTCACCTGAACAGTGCAAGAGTAATGTTAGGGTAACGTGTCGAGCTATCAAACCAAGAACCAAATCCAATGATGACGCTTGGATGCTCCTCCATACCTCATATCTATGTCTGTGCCTCTCATCAACATAACTTTTGTTTCCATATCTGGAAATAGAAAGAAGAAAAGTTGGTTCAACTTTCACCGACAAAGGACTGCATTCATGAGGAAATATGTCTTCTTGAGATCATTATTATAACTTACAACTTTGCAGATTTGCAGTCATTCACATGGAAATATGTCCTCCTTGACCCCAGTCGCATGGTGCCACCCATGTGGGTTTTTGAGCCCTAATAATAATGGAGGGAAAAGCGGATTAGAAAAAAAGAGGAACAAGCACGGAAATTGCTTTGCAGGAAGAGCTAATAGGAGGCCAAACCTCAGGCATAAATATGACGCATGGATTCTTGGTGTGAGTGTCAAACTCTGTGCTGTTAGCGTCTTGCATATTGAGAACAGATCTTGCAAATTCAATGACAGCAATTTGCATGCCTAGGCAAATGCCAAGGTAAGGGATTCGATTCTCCCGAGCAAATTTAGCTGCAAGAATTTTCCCTTGCACACCTCTGTCGCCAAACCCTCCAGGAACAAGAATCCCATCGGCACACTGAAAGATGGAACAGGCAGCAAGATTGACCATTGGAACTCAAAACCGAGGAATATTAAACAAAAAAGCACTTGGTTCTACTAGGCCTGCTACCAACCTTGAGCAACTTCCATGCAGCTTTATACGCATCAGAATTCTGAGAAGTTGGAAGAAGCCTTGTCAGTCAAGTCAAATTGGCTGGAAGATGAAATCCCAGTGCATGGTTTTGGACAGTGATTTTTTTTTACTCACCTCTTGTGCTGTTTCATCTTCTAGATCTGTAGCTGGAACCCAATCAACAACAAGTTTCTTCTGGAGTGCAACAGATGCATGCAAGAGAGCCTGCCACCAACATAACATAAAGCAGATGAATAAATGCCATGCTTTAGAAGTTAGAACATCAAAATAAAGGAACTACTTATGAAATGAGTTCCACCTTTAGAACAGAAAGGTATGCATCTGAAAGACCTGTATACTTTCCAACCATAGCGATTCGGACCTACAATGACGTTTCAGAAGTGAGATCAGAAAACAGACAGTAAGAGAAGGCTGAGATAAATGGAAGAACATATGCTTAAGCCGTACAGGTTCATGCAAAGCATCGCACAGTTCAGCCCTAGCTGTCCATTCCCTTAGGTCAGGCTCCTTGGCAACACTGTAATATACAATGACGTTAGGGAGCACAGACAAAGAAGAAACCATACACAAAAGCAAATATATGAGATGAAAAAAAGCTGACTCAAATACTAACCCGTGAAGGTTTAGAACTCTCAATATGGCTTCATGAGCTTTCTGATCCTGAACAAACAAGCAGATGGTACAACGATAAGTTAGAACAGGGACATTTAGAGGAGAAATTATATGAGAAAGTGCAGCAATAACACTTACCCTTAGCAATAGAGGAATGTGCCAAATGTTGGGAACATCGTACAGAGTGACTATACTTTCGGACTGCAACACGGAAGGGGGCATCACAATTTAGCAAAAGCAGAAATGCAAGAGAAATTAAGTATAGAGTAATAGAAAAGGAAGATCAACCCACTGGAACATGGCAGAACTGAGCAAGTTTCTGTTTTACATTATCCTCGAGTGCCTGCATAAACAAATTACACAAATTTATATTCAGAACCAAATGCAGGTTACTGGGTGTAGGGGGTAACGCCAAAGACAGATATGTACCGAAGTGCTGCGACAAGCTAAGATATCCGGAGTCAAACCAAGGCCTCTTAGACCCCGCACACTGTGCTGAGTTGGTTTTGTTTTCTGCAAAGGATGATAATTCATACTCAGTACAGTATCTAGATATTATCTTTGTATAGCTCAAGCATGAAGATTCCCTTTGAATGTGAGTTGTGTAATGGTAAACTCTTACCTGTTCACCAACAACATTCAGGACAGGAACAAGACTCACATGAACCAAGCAAAAGTTTCCCGCACCTGTAACATAGACACCTTATCAGAACAGTACAACGAAGCAACATGTCTTCCTTAAATTGCAATTGACGGAATAAGTGAGCCAATTGTTTACCAACTCGGTAGGAGAACTGGCCCAGCGCCTCGATAAATGGCATGGATTCTATGTCCCCTGTAGGAAAAGAAAATGTTAATAGCTATAAGGAAAAGAACGGAAGTATCTTCCAAGGGTAAAGAACACTTCTCTTTGCGTTTACCTATAGTTCCTCCCAATTCAATGACGCAGACATCAGCGGGGCCTGACTTTCCATCTACAGGCACCTGGGCAACACGCTCTATCCAGTCTTGAATGGCATCAGTGACGTGAGGAACAACCTGTACAGTCTTTCCCAGATAGTCTCCTCTTCTTTCTTTATCGATGACAGCCTACATGACGCGATAAGACGGGACGGGAGCACTCAGTATCAGGAGGTCGGCACTTCAAACAATCATCGGAAAGCTTAAAAAGTTTGAATTTTGAACACATAAAAAGGAGCATGAAGTTTAAACAGCTTGCCTGGTAAATCTTTCCATTAGTGATGTTATTGTCCCGCGTCAGCTTGATATCAAGGAACCTCTCGTAGTTTCCAAGGTCAAGGTCCACCTTTTAAACAAAACAAAAGAGTCATTTCGGTTTCACCCTTGGATCAAATTTCACCCTTCCACCTCTAAAATTAAAGGTGGCCCAACTTGATAACAGGTAGTGCACAAGTTCAACCTCAATCAATTTACAGTATTTTAAACTAAAACTGAACCTGCACACTACAAGAAGTGGAAAGAATCTCAGAAAGATGGAGCAACTGCTACCACTAAAATGTCCAAGTTTAAAAAAACAAGACAAAATCATAAAGTGCTTAAGGACCGAGAAAGGGAATTCCTCGCTTCCATGGGAAACATCCCCAACCAATGGTTTGCAAAACTTGGAAAAGGCTAAAAAGGGCCTCCTTATTTACCTCACCCCCGTCATCAAGGACAAACACCTCGCCATGCTCAAAAGGCGACATTGTTCCAGCATCAGTATTCAGGTAAGGATCTGAAACAGGGACAGATAACGGAAAAAAAAGGAAGAAGCTTTAATAATTAAATTAAAGTAGAGTAATCCACTACAGTGGCTCACCAAAAAAAGCCAAAGCAAACCCACCAGAATAAAAAGAGAAGAGGGTAAAACAACTCAACCATCCGTTTGATGAATGCTTCCAAAACAAACAAAGGGATACCGGAAACGATAAAAACCGCCAACCACTACCCATTAGTTACAATCCGTGTTACACCCACAAGGAAACAGTAAATTGGAATTTTGGGTCATTGATAAGAGTTTTCAAAGGGCACCTTAAGCATAGCAAAAAGGTGTAATTACTTGATTAAACTATTGTGATTACAGAAGGGAGAAGGCGAAGATAACCACGCACGCGCACTAATCCAATATTTTAATTTCCTTTTTCTAAAACAAAGCAACAGAAGAGGGACAGATGAAATCAAGAAAGAAACAGAGTGGGGTTTGAAGGTCCTAGAGATAATAGGATAGGAATGAAAAAATGAAGGGGAAAAACACAAAGTAAATGAGAGTATATTCTGCTCTTTCTGAGATCTAAAATGCCATTAAAAGTAGAGTTCCAACCACAAGCAAGAAAGCATAGCAGCGTGATATCAAAATCAAAACCACCCAAGTGCTAAAGCAGGAATAGATGACTGCCGGTAGTAGTTCGTTCTGCAGATATAGCTACACAGACCGAAGAAAAATCAACCTAACAAACAACTGCAAACGAGAGAGACAGACCGATTTTGATAGAAGTAACGCGAAGTCCACAGGCCTTCAGAATGACGCCGATACTGCTGGCGGTCACTCCTTTCCCGAGCCCGCTCACCACTCCTCCAGTCACAAGCACGTACTTCATCTTTCTGCTACTGAACTTTTCTCGCACCAAAGAAAACGATGAAACAAAGAACTTCTCCTCCTGGAGAAATTTAAAAAAAAATAAAAAAAATCAAACAGCGCATCAGTATCAGAACAGTCATTGCCAAAACCGAGAAATAGAGATAGAGGAGGGAGGCGAGAAAGGAGAACCTTAGAAACTCCGTCAATGGCGGTTGTCAGCTGAAGCCACCGGAGGAGTTAGAAGAAGAAGAAGAAGAAGAAGCTAGGGTGCAGGAATATGTGTAGAACGGGGTTCGGAAATGGTTGGGAGACTCGTTCGATTCGATTTGGGGAATCAGTGAGGGGAATCGCGAGGGGAATGAGGGAGTGGAGGATCGCAGGAGCGACGGAGGGAGAAGGAGAAGGAGAAGGAGGAGGCGGCGGCGGCGGGGCAGGGAAGGGGAGAAAAGAAACTGGTAAAGAGGGAGGGAGGGAAGTTTGGAAGAGGAAATGGGGAAGCTGATGGGCTTCAGCCTGTAGGCATTGGCGGCCTTTTATATCCGCAACTGCCCCACTTTGCTCAGCCCAGGCTGTGAGAGTACACACTACTAAACCCGAACCAAACAGTTTTTTTTTTTTCTTCGGCCACGTACAGTTTTTTTGACGGGAAAACAAAGGAAATAAGTCTTGGAATATAAAAAAAAATTATAATAATTAATAAAATGTATTTTCCTTGGTCAAATATTGTTCCTTCTTTTTCATTTTTATCTAAGGGGGAGAAATATAATTGGCAATTGAACACGTAAATCAATGGAAAGACTTTTTTTACTGTTACGAACGAATGAATTGGATAAAGCAATATTGCTATATACATAAGTAGTGATGGCAATCGGCTCGACAGGCGGGTACCTCAACACTCATGCTAAGTCTAATTAATTAAAAGATCGACTCTAATTAGTTGAAGAAGAGTAAAAATAGAAGAAATATGTATAGATATTGTAAGATATCTCGGTAGAATGGACCAAGAACGGGTCAGAGCGAGGCAGAAGTAGATACCCATGCCCCGCCCACGCTACTATGGGTCAGGTAATACCCGCCACATTGCAGGTCAGATCGGGTAATACTCGCAGTGAGGAACATTGTTCGAGTGTTAGTTTTAAACTGACAGGAGTATATGTTGCGAGTTATAGAGAATGAGATTATAAAAGCCCGTCTGGAGCAGGCGATCTTGATGGAAAGCTCATTGATTAGCGTGAGGCTTGAGAATGACTCGGATTCAGCTAAATATAACTCGTCATAGCTCAAGTGTATGTGTATCTCATGCAATACAAGCATAATAGGCATCTTATTGAAGATTACGAGAGCTCTACAGAATCATCTATATTCTAGCTCCTAATGGTATAATGGGAGCTCGTGCAAGCTCATTAGGACTGTAGAGTTTACCAAGTAATCTCAAACTAGGTCAAGGGAAACAATGGTAGCCGAAGAGGTCCATAAGTCAACTTCAATATCTGAAGAGAACTTGAAATAACCAGTGTAGGTTTGTGATGCTAGACACTTGCTCACTCCATCTCGCCTAGTTACATCAAGTTCAATTCGACTTCTTTTCCTTATCCTCTATGCCAAGCCTCAACTTAGCGGAGTTCGCTTTACTTCTTCTACTCATCTCGTTGCCTCTCTTCTTTGTTGTCTATGTGTGAATCACATGTAGGGTGGGTCGGCTTTTGGGTTGAGGCTCGAAACCATGTAGAGCTCGAGTGCCACAGAGGGAGAGAATTGAGATATAAGAGAAAGGTGCGAGTGAGATTAATGAACATAGAGGGAGAGATCGAGAACATAGAGATGTTAGATGGGCGAGATCAATTCGTGGTCAATGATGCGTTTGTGTAGTTGAGCGGTCGTCATTAGAGTATAAATCACAACTAAATGGAGAGAGAAAAAAAAGAAGAGAAAAGCTAAGAAAGAGAACGAAAAAAAAGTATTTGCATAGGAAAAGCTTATTATATTTTGTTTTTTAGAAAATGCTTATTCTAATATACACAAGAAATCAAATAGGGAAAATTACCAAAATAAGAAAACAAGATGGACACACGTACTATAACCTTAAAAAATGTTATTATGCAAGTAAGGAAGCAAAGGATATTCCAACTGAATTCAATTTGCTTGTGTCATCTAACAAACCTTTGTCCTTCCTTGGCCGAAAGCAAAAAGTTCATATTTTTATTGATAAGGATTAAAAGAACCAAAGACCAAAGACTAGAAGAAGAAATGGCGCAATATGAAAAAGGCAAAAAATAGCGGGAGCGAGGTCAGCAAAAGTCTCCCCTAATTCCCTATTATAGATCGGGGATTAAGTGATAAAAAGAGAGGGAAAAGAGAAGATTGAAAGCACAAAGAGTAGTATTGGATAACCCTACTTACAGATTCCTGAGAAAAAAAAGAGTCCAAATCAAGGATCCTTTTATTACAAAGAAACCCCACATAAGAACAAACAACTTATCCTATCCACCATTGCTAAAACAAAGATTTGTGATAGTGTGCTGTACCCGTGACCGAATTATCAAAATTCATATTAATAGTTGAATTGGTATGCAATATAACTATTTTTTTGAATTGGGCAATATAACATGTTTAAATTATCGTATTTGTTGATTTTTATCAGTATTATATCTATATATTACGGATTTAAAATATTATCTTAATAACAATATTGTTAACTATCATTCACTTGTTTGTTCAATTCAATTTTAAGTACTAATACATGCGAAAAACAAATCTAAAATATAAAAAAAATAGGAAGCACATTTTAAATACGATATTATAGTACATGCTAAAAATAAATCAAAATTAGAAGAAAAAAAAAGTTGTTTGCTTCCCATTTTCCTACTAAAGGTCAATGTTTTTGGGGTTAGGCTTAATTGGTAGAGCTAAATTCGAAATGCCGACGGAAGGAAGGTCTGTTGGATGAATAGATGTTAATAAAAAGGTTAATCCTTAGTCGAGTCCACTTTGCTCTTCTATTACCTATGGTTTAATGCCGCGTGCCAACCAGTCCTGGGATTTAGGAAAAAGGTTGCTTATAGGCTATAGCTTTGTTTTTCTACGAGTTAGTAAAACATTTTTTGGATAGGAGTTTATGTCAGATTGATATTCGAGAATTTAATGTGAAATTCAAATTACTATGTGTTATAGCCACTTATAGGACAAGCTAAAACACAATTCAAGAGGTTTGGCATTCCTCATCTAAGCCTTCTTGCACCAGCAAACAAATAATAATAAGCTCCATCAATTTCTTTATGGGTTTCGCGTATTTGTGATGAGAGAATAACATATACATAGTTTTTTAGTTTTGATATATTAGAGTTGATCACAATTTCTAAGTTATTTAAATAAATAAATATCCAGAACGACCAGTTCATTAAAATATATTGACTCTATCATTAGCACTAGAACACAAAATCACAAAAAAGGTTTAAGAAAGATCTATTACAAAAATAGTTGACTAAAAATTGGTTTATTGTGTAGCTTCTCCTATCTAAAACAGGTTTGTGGCTTTGTGCCTCCATAAAATATGTATTGATTGATTTATCATGCATTTTCTTATAGATAAAGAATCAATTTTGTTTTATATTTAAAGAAGATCGATATATTCATCGAGGTAAAATTTCAAAGTATACTACATGATTTAGTTTGCTATAAAGTTGGAAATCTGGTTTGGATCGAGTAATTGCGAAACAAAAAAAGTTGGTCAATTGTCTTATTTTACAAAAGATTCCATTCTAACCATATGCATTATGCATCCACTTTAGACAATTATTTATAACTGCCTCAAAATTGTTCGATCCAAATTTTTGTTAATAAATGGATGAATTTGGCCCAACTATCTCAAACTGAAACAATTGGTTTAAATTAATATGTTTGAATTATTCGTCCAAACGACGACACAAAAAATAGCCGGAGCTAATGTGAATGAAAACTGAAAAGTAAAATGTTTTATCAGAAAACTGAAAAGTAAAATGATATTTTTTTTACTCTCATTTTCTCCTTAAAGATAAGTGGGAATTGAAAACTAAACCCACGCTAGCTAATGGTCAAAAAGCTCTTTTTATGAATGTGGTTGCACCAGCTAAAAACTAGATGCACTTTAATTTTGTCTTATTTCATGGAATAACTTCTGAACCGACACGGTTAATGCCTTTAATTAATTCCCTTTAATAAATCCTTAAGACGGTCTCAACACAAATTTTGGATAATAGGTTTTGACTTTGAAGCAGCTGGATAATTAAGTTTTAAGTTTTTTTAAAGAGTAAAGACCAACGAGGTGAAAATTGCTACAAGCCTACGACATTGGATACCAGTTAAATGAACAACTGAATATTTTGTTTGTTTTTTTGTCAACGGACAATTTAAGCACATTTACTCGTCATCCATCTACAATCCAACCCGTAAGTGATGAGGATGGATGACAAGTAACAACATATCAACTACTTGATAATGGACGAATTGAATTCTACTCGAAAATCACTCGACTCACTCTGTCACCCAGTAAGAACCCATAAACATGGGTAGATAATTTCATAATTTTATATTATCAACCCAAATAAAGCCAGATTGCAGAAAGGGGGAAGGGTGCCAAAAAAAAAAGAAATTTGTAATTAATTAAGATTCGATGATTTAGTGGGGAACGTGACATCAAAGATAATCATGGTTATCTGGACATACAATTGTATCCACTTTAGCAAATGTATGTTTCATGGTTGAAAGGCTCGACGGTCGTGGATTTGTTCTGTGCCAACCGTTCCCATTGGTAAGGAAATGACCCTGACACAGAGGGCGGACTATTTGGTCCGGACTGTTTGGTTTTATCCGAAACCGGACTGTATAACTCAGACCGGGACCGGATAGCAAACAATCCAATCTCATATTCGGGTTTAGATTTGAGGTAAAAACCCGGATAAAAACCGGATAAGAGACCCCCAATACCTAAAAGCAAGATAAAATTGGGACCGGATCGGGTCAAGACCGGACCAGATCAAGACCGGAGTGTATCCAATCCAATCTTTGATCCTTATATTCCCAAAAAAACCGGATCAATTTGATCCAATTAACCGGACCGTATAGCCACCCCTACTCATACATACTAGTACTACAGTGGTCACCTCCTCAACGTCTCTTGGGTCAAAACCAAACACAGTAAAATCGTAATGGAAGTTGTGACAAAAAGTGCAATGGTTTCATGGTCGAAGTTAATCTGGTCTTC